TATGTCGCGAACATTTTAACGTTATCCACAACAAAAAGCTCAGTGGCGACGAAAGAGACGCGAGCTTTATTAGTAATGGCGATGGTCTTTCTACATCCTCCTCCTCCTCCTTCGCAATGTAGAAGCCTCTCTCCTTCTATATTCAACCGTCACATCTCCGCCGGAGATATTTCATCGTCCTCTCGTCTCTCCTTGAAAACCTCCGGCGTCGAGAGCTGGGTTTCTTGTTTCCGGTCGAAATCTCTCGGTTTGGTGTTCTCTGGAGCTCTCGCTCTCGGTTTATCTCTATCGGGTAAGTTTTTTTCTTCCTTCTTACAAACATCATTGCTTCTTACAGAGGATTGAACAATCACAAAGTTTGCGCATCAATTGCTTCTGATTGTATTTACCGAGTTCTTTGATCACATTAAAGTCAAGCGTGTGACTTTGGGTATGCCACTGTACTACGACCTAATAATCTCTCTTATGAGTTATCAAGGAGAAAGTTTTCCAATTTCAAATATTCTCTCAACTAACTTTGAATCTTTTTGTAGGTGTGGGATTTGCAGAGGCAAAAGTTGGAGTTAACAAGCCAGAGTTGCTCCCTGAAGAGTTCACTACTGTCATAGATGTTGCTGGCTTCCTCTCTAATGGCCAGGTTTATGCTCTTACTAGCTTCCATTTTTCAGGATTTGATCGAGCACATAATTACTTATGGAATATTTTGTTTCTTGCTTACATGATTTAGATTTGTTGGTGCTGTGAATTTCTGCTCTGAAGTCTTTGGCCATTGGTTTTCTTAATGCTGTTTGAGAATTTTACAGGAGAGACGAATTGCTAAAGAAATCGACGATCTTGAGAAAGACACAGGATTTAAGTTGAGAGTCTTGGCTCAAAACTATCCTGTTACACCCGGTATGATATATATATATGCTTTGAAAGCAGCATACTTTGATCTGCTTGATGACATTTCTCTCTGTGTGTTGAAACAGGACTAGCAATCAAGGATTTCTGGCAAGTGGATGATAGCACGATTGTGTTTGTCGCTGACCCGACATTTGGTAACTAACATCTCAGACCTCATTGTTGAATTTCTTCAAGTATCCAATGGGAAACTGAAGGGTGATGACTGGATATGAAACAGGGAACATATTGAATTTTAATGTCGGGGCTACTGTTGATTTGGATGTTCCTCGTAGTTTCTGGAATCGATTGGCTGGGAAATATGGCAACATGTTTTACTGGAAAGAAAAGGCAAGCAGGAAGAAGAATACTCTTTTTTAATCTTTGATTAAATTGATGGTCTCCGCTTTTTTCTTATGCCTTTAACTGTCTTGAAACTAGGGAGAAGATGCATCCATTGAAGCTGCAGTGATGGCGATATCAAGTTGCTTACGAGAACCTGTTGGTCCAAATAACTGTGCAGAGATTAATTGAAGTATCATGACCCGGGAAATGTGTCTGTTATAAACAATGTATAATTTGGCATCAAAGGGAAACAGAATTGTAAGAATCAATGCTCTGTTTCAGTATCTCTCTTCTTGTTCTTTAATAACATTGTCTCAGAATCTTCCTGCAGGCTGCAGCTTCCAAGTTGATAGTTTTGAGTCACAACTTGTGATCAACTGCTATAAAATGTATGGAAACTTATAAATGGAAATGACCAAAGATCCATAATTATGAATATACGTGGCATGTGTGTTTATTCCAGCCTTGTTACAACTTGTACAGACAGCCATAACTATTGCAACATTCAAAGAACC